ATGATTCCTTCCATCTGAATTGCACTTATAGTTTAACATAAAATTGCATTAAAATTAAAATAAAATATGTCTTCTTTGATCTTTTTCTGTTCTCTCTTAATTTAGGAAGGAAATAAATGGATCAATTAGTTTCTTTTTGAATTAACAAATTTTATGATAATTTGGCACATTCTTTGAATTTTATAAATTTTATAAGTTGGAAAACTACTGATTGTTGATTATTATTCAGTAAAAAAATGTAATATTTCTGTACCGTACTCGTTTTGCAACAATAATTCATCTATTCTTGTCTTATTAATTAAGCAAATAAGCTCAGATATAGGATTTCAGGAAAGGACGTCTCAGAAACATTTCTTCATTAGTCCCTTATTGAAAAATCAGTTAGCATCATTTTGTGTACATTTCACTGAATTCTTCTTTCTGGCCGAAAACAACTTTCAATGGTACGACAAACTTTTACACATCCCTCATTCTATTCAGTTATCAGGCAGAATGCAAATCTCGGAAAATGCATTTATACGATTATCTCTACTACGAATATGCTACTGAACTAAGGCAGAATGCAGGTAGTCTTTCATATCACTTCCGCATTTTATTTTCTTCAAATTCTTCTATTCAATTTTTTTTTTGACTCGTAATCGATTGGACTTCTTTCATCTTTCCTATTCATCTCGTGTTACCGAATGTTTGATAGTCACCATGCGGAAATAGTAAACATCTGTTAGAGTAAACATCTGTTGCAGTTGAAGAATGTTTAACTGACCGTGCGACGGGCGAGTTTGCTAATGAGATGTGGAAAGCATCTTTTTTTTTCTCTGATGCCAAACCAAAATTGATAATGAAATTGTGGTTTTTTTTGGCCATTATTCCAATTCCAAATTTCAGTTTCAAGACAGCTTGCCTTAGTTTTCATTTCCTTCTAACAAATGAAATCGAAGAGTTTTATTTAATTTGAATTGAATTTAAATATTATCAAATGGCTGAAGACTTTTCAAAGAGGAATGGAATTAACAGTTGATAAAATAAAGAGTTACATATGAAGTAAGTCTGCTGTCCGGTACAGTTCAGGTACTCAAACAGTACTCGCACTATCTCCTGCCACTCCCAGCTTATCTCACATCATCAAGAATTACCAGGTAACCCATTTCTCACCTGTGGTCTGTCTGCTCGTCGACCTACCACATTCAGACGTTTTTTCCTTGCTAGTGACAGACCCGCCTCCCTTTATTCCAGAGACACACCTGTGATTGGTTCTTGAGATACCGTGAAAACTCTTTATATCTATATATATGTATGTATGTCTGCATGTATGTGTGTGTGCCCATGTATGTGTATGTACGTATGTGTTGCATGTATGTATGTAACTGTGTGTTATGTGTGTGTACATATGTGTGTACGTGTGTGTATGTGTGTGTGTGTGTGTGTGTGTGTGTGTACTATCGTAATTAGCATATCTTCTAATATCGTTGATGAAAAATTTAAAGAAGAAGCAGTGAAATGAACAAATACAAGTCGAACGAGATGGAGATTTTTTCGAGCGAGAGAGAGAGGGGAGAGGGAGAGGGACGGAGAAAGAGAGACGAACCATATTGAGAGTGTGGAACCCGTCGAAGTGTTCGCAGGTTGAGAAGATATGGTCCATGCAGCCAATTTTTGTGCAAAGTGTAATGTAGATGTAGGGGAGGAGTATCGATTGATTTATTGAAATTTTGTGGTAATTTCAATTGCAATATTCTCGAAGAAGAGAGAAAGACTGTCAGTGAAGGAGTAGGTGTCGTTGGAGAGTAAGGGGTATAATTTCTAAGAAGCATCAAGAGAGAAGGACTTATAAAGCCAGAAAGAATTTAAAAGAAAAACCAATTTTTAAAAATTTTTAGAAAGTAACAAGCAGAACTTAAAATCAGTTGATTTCTTCAGGTGCTAAATTTAGAAAGCGTTCACTTCTCTCACTCCATTCATAAATTATGTTTTGATTTATCAATAACAATCATTTATCCAACATCAAACAGATATAAAGCCTTTTTTGTTATCAAAACATCTCAATTGCTTCAGAATCTTGCAATTGTTACTGCTTTTTGGATACCACGAAAGAGCTTTCATTCAACTTTGACCTCTGTTATACCGCAAAACTTCAGAACTCTCATCTCTGTCATATCATTTTCTTGTATTATTTATGCATTTTTTGATTGTTTTACAACAGAAAAGCATAGAAAGGATTCTCCCCATGCGGCTTTCACAGCTGACAAAATTTTGCGGCGCAATGAGATGGGAACATTGAACTGTATAATTTAAATCACATGCATTTGATCTTTGCATGCATGTATCGACAATATAATGTTCGTTAGCATAAATTTAGATCAAGCACTTGAAATTAGCGGATCCATGAATGAAAAGAAAGAATGAAAGTATAGTGATACTTTATGCTTTACTTAATTTTATATTACTGCAAAAATAAAAAAAGCAATGAAGAAAAAATCTATGAAAAAAATACATTTTACAAAATAATTTGCTGTGAAAGAATGATTTGAATTTAATTACATCAGATTTCGTCAGTTATTTATTCTTCTGCATTTTTTGAATCATTGTCTTTGTCCATTTATATTTTCAGTGTTTTAAGTCAACCTGAGGAGAAGTTAATATTAACCATTTAATAACGCAGTGAAAAAAAAATCAAAAAGTTTAAGGAGCGAAAATATTAACACTGCTGAAAAAACAGTTTGAACTTTCTTTTTTTTTTAAAAAAAAACATAATTTATTTGTAATCCAAACATTGGAGCATTAAGCGAAATAGTGAAATGAAGATATTATCAGTGAAACATATCTCTTTTCAAGGAGAAATTTATTGTCTTCTAAAAAGCATCTGAGATGAGGACGATGTCAGGAAATCTGTGATTTACTGTGTTAGCTATGTTTCGAAAGCAAAAAGCATCGGTGATCTTAACAACTCGTAATAAAATATGAGAGAGACGGAGAAATAAGAATATGGTTAAATCAACAACGGATCATAAAGTCTTAATTAATACCAGTAATTATTGCAATAGTCTTAATATCAGCAGCGAAGGAAAAGATGCTTTTACTTGATCAATGTAAAACTTTTTTCTAATCAAGATGTAAGAGCAATATTGATTCAGGAATTTTTTAATGAATGATATATTTAATGAAGGGGTTTATTTGATTCCAACCAGACCTATAACAGTCTAACTGATATGAATACAACTGATATTAGTGGTAAAACAACCTCTTTTCCTTCTAAAAAATTTTTCAACTTCTTTAAGAGCCTCTGCGTTTTTCGCTTAACAGAATGAAAACAATACGAAAAAGACATCGATGACTGACTGCCTTATTGTATTTTTTTGCCTCAACATTTAACCGAATCCAAATTATGATTACAAAGCAATTTCAATGCTTTCTTGGCGGATGAAATGAAGTCATGGAAGTACTTTTTTATTTTTTATTTAGTTTTAATTTCACTCTTTCTATTAATCGTATTTTGATATTTCTAGTAGCACGTTTTCTTATCAAAGAATGAAACAAAAAGTGTCAGTTTCAGTTCAGTTTAGTATTTTAACAAACACAAAGAGTTAATCATAAAATTTCAACCTTATTTTCGAGATTTTTTAAATAGAAATTTGAATAAAGAAAAAATCTTTCATGAGCTCTCATTTAATGCACAATGAGATCCTCTCCTTTTTTATCTCATTTATTCAAGTGATAGCAAAAATTAGTTAATTCGAAAGAAAAAATTTCTGTAGACAGTTACCATACAGTAATTTTTTAATTTGTAGCCCTTCGAAAGATGCTTAGGTACTCTTATCAAACAGTTTGCTTAATCGCAACTATTCATTCCGATACTAAATGTCTTCTATGTTGTTTTATTCATTTAAAAGTAATTATGATAATTTCAATTAATTGTCACGGCGAAATGTATTCAAATAAGTAATCTGTCACGAAACGTCAGATGACAAATAATTCCATTGAAAAGGAACTAGAAAAAGTGAAAGAGGAATGAAAATTGTACCTTGAATGGTTTTTTTTTTTTCGAGCAAACTTCGCATTACCATTACTGTTATCGAGATTTTTAATTTTAAGAGTAATTTCGAAGTTTATCGTTTCATGTGTACCATGCAAAAATATAAATTTCTTTTTTAGGATTATTTTAGCATCAGATCTTTTTTTGATTATTGAGAATTATCCCTAATCTTTTCCAATATTTATGAAAATTATCAAATCGTATGAATGTTGTGACTTTCATTAACGGCTTTCATTTCCTCTTAGCAAAATAGTTTGTCATAATCAGCATAATAACTCATATAAGGTAATTCATAACTCATATAAGGTAAGTGGTGTTGCTTCACGTAAAGGTGCAACACTTACTTTTCCACATACTTTCGTATTAAACCGATACTTATGATTGGTAGCTAATAGATTAGTAATGATTGCTCTCGTTACTAAATCAATACTGTCAAGTGAATTTAATTTTGTGTAGAAATAAAAAAAGTTCTGTCAAACACTGAAGTAGGAAAAAATGAATGCGTCATATTTTATTCAGTTTTTACTTCGTATGATCTAAAACTAATTTTGGATGATGGGATAAAATCATTGTAATTTGACTGTTTATAAGATTTATTCATGAATTTTCCATACTCATACCACATTCAATTTTTCTAAATGAAAATACTTGAAAATGCTTGGATTCTATTAATACAAAGATATCTTGAAAATTATTTTTTATAATGTAAAGATTTAAAATTTTCACACTCACAATTTATAGTTTTGCAATGAACATACCTGATTAATGAAAATTGCCAGAAACAAGAATGAGTATATGTTCATTTCAAGTTTTGTTACAAATTAGATTTACTTTATGGTTGTTTCATCAGTATGATTTAATTGTGATTATGCAATATCCGTTATCATAGCTTGTGATGAAGATTAAAATAGCAACCGGTTTGTTTCAGGGCTTCGATACCAAACCAGAAGTGCACCAGGTACACAGTCAGATGCACATGAGAGAGGCGAAGCCATACAAATGTACTCATTGCATCAAATCTTTTGCAAATAGCTCGTACCTGTCGCAGCACATGAGGATACACCTTGGTATAAAGCCCTTTGGACCCTGCCAGTACTGCGGTAAAAAGGTTCCTTTCCTTTTTCTTTTCCCTCGTTTGAGGTACTTTCAAAGAAATGCAAATAAAAAACAAAAAAGCAAGAAATGGAAAATGTGTATATCAGAGAATATAAATAAGGATGAGAAATAAAAATGACTGTTGAAAAAAAAACAAATTTCAGTTCACACAGTTATCACATCTGCAACAACACATCAGAACGCATACTGGTGAGAAGCCATACAAATGCAAATTTCAAGGCTGCGAAAAGGCATTTAGTCAGCTATCAAATTTGCAGTCACATTCAAGATGCCATCAGTCCGATAAACCGTTCAAGTGCAACAGGTATTTTTCTTGATCGTTATTCTCCAATTTTCTTAATAGGTCGAATATTCTTCTCATAGTTTGTCAGTTCAACTACTCTAATCACAATCACGGTGTGATGATCCACTGATTCAAAGCTCTTTTCATAACTTTCTGACACTTTCTAGTTGCAAGTGATGAGTGTAATAATAATCGGTACCGCTTAGATATAACAGGAGAATATGCCGTATTCGGCTTGTTTGAAGGTTACAACACTTGTCCGAGCGTATCTCGACAATGATAATGGCAGAGAAGGATGAAGTGATAGGTGAAGGAAGTATAAGTGAAGTGCTTTTCAGCTGTTACAAATGCTTCACGGATGAACAAGCACTGCTGGAACACATACCAAAGCACAAGGAATCGAAGCACTTAAAGGTATTTTACATGGGTCAGTTATAAAGTGTTATTTTTTCAAAGAAAACCGTAACAGAAATGGATCGTTTTCTTTGATGAATAAATAAATGTCCATACTTTATACCGGTTACTATTATTCAATCCGGTTTATAAATTATTATCAATAAAAAACTTTTATTGAAAAATCTGTTTTTAACTTTTTTATCACCTTATTTCCTATACAATCATCGATAGCATTTATAAACCGGAAAATAAAAGGGAAAATTGCCTGAGCAAATCACGTGCCACACCAACTGGATGACGTATTATGAAGTAATCTATTACATTTTTTGTTTGCTAAATCATCTTACTTTCATCTTCAGGTTGAAAGATGCGACAAAAATGCCGTCATTAATCGAATTTTAAAAAAATTTTTTTTACCTCCACTCTCTGCAATTACCTTTTCTCATTCTAATTTTCTTTCCCATTTAAAATGCATAAATAAAATTAAGCTGTAACAATAAGTATAATAATTAAAAACACTTATTTTATTATGTAAAAAGAAAGATTTACACGCAGTATATGTGATTTGAACTTTTTTAAATTCATAAAATATTTCAGGTGCATATTTGCCCATATTGTGGTAAATCTTATACGCAACAAACTTACCTTGCAAAGCATATGACTAAACATGCTGACAGGAGAAACATGTATGCATTTTTTTGTCTTTGTTCTTATTCTTTTTTTGCTAAATATAATAAATGTGATGCGCAAAAGTTTCAAACTACTTAGTGATTTAATCCGGTAGCTTTGATTTTGATATCTTTTGCTCTGTAACTTACATTATTGCATGTTTTCCTTGCATTTCCATAGCATGATGAACGGTACCGAATTCGATGCCAATAATTTCAATCAGCTTGCTGAAACTAATTGTCGATTAACCTTTCAAGAACATATCAGGACGCTACATTTTTCATTGCTTCGTGAAAACATTTTTTCACAATCGTTACAGAAGCAATTTTATGGAAGGCCTGGAAGGGTTGAATGCATGGAGAAATGAAGCAGCTGCAGCAACATCAGCGCCCACGATGGCAGCTGCGGCACATGGCATTTCGGATCTTGCTTCCGTCACACAACCACAAATAGACTTTAGTTCGTTTTTTTTTTTATTAAAAATTTCTAGGGAAATCATGAACAAATATTAAATGAATGGATGTAAATGGTTAGAATAAATCCATTCAGAGATTTTCAATTTTTGATAAAATGTAAAGAAATACTAAAAATATTTCACTTTTTGCTGCCCTAGCATGTTCTACTATTAGTAAATGTTGTTTTGTCGAGAAAGTTTTATGATATTTGGTGACATAGTTTTTTAAATTAAACAGCGTATTTTAGAACTCAATTTCTTACCGTAGTTATTTAAACTTTAACGGAAAATTGAAGATTCCATTTTTGGTAGAAATTATCTATCTAAATTATCTTTCTATATTTACCTTCAAATATTCTATATAACTATTTGAAGTATTAAGCAAAAATCTTTCATATCTGAATTCAGTTATTTTAACTTCAACAAAAAATTAATGATAAAAGTCTACTCCTATATGTTATGATAACAATGAGACAATAACAAAACTTTACTGCAGCTTCATCGATATCCACAGAAATGATTCATTTAGAAATTTTAATCAATGAATTTTTCAAGACATCTATAAATTTAGCTTTAGGAGCTAAATTTACAGAGATTTTTTTGGAAATGAGAACGCTAATTGCAGGTCACTTCAACGCAGGGATACCAGCTTCCGTGCTGTCGGCTGCTAATCAGTCAGCCGCAATAGCTGCGACCAGTTCGGTGACAAGTGCGGCAGCAGCAGCATGTAGCTATCCGAGTGCTGCCTCAACGGCTACTGCAAATCAGATGATGGTCAACGACCCCTCCGCGTTTCGTCTTAATATGGCTGCATTTGGCAGGACACTGAGCACAAACAGATCCTATTTCCCTTTCGACAATACAGCATTCAAATCAGAAGCACCTAGGCCGGCAGGGTTAGCGATTTACAGTGCCAAAAGTAGGAATTATGACAGAGGTTGTCATATCTAAAAATCAGACACGAAGCATCGATAAATTGTAGGACCATACAGATCTCGTAAATGGTGAACATTCTAACTTCTATTTATGATTTCTGAATTTTCAGGTTCAATATGATAACACCATTGGAGAAAATTCAATGCTACACGCAGCAAACATCCTCAACATCCACTGTTCAGGACCAGCAGTTCCAGAATACGATGCTCAATTACAAATAGAAAAAAGAAAATTCATCGCGCGGGTTTTAAATTAGGAAGCGACTGTCACCATCATCACCATCATCATCAGTATGCCATCCTCTCTAGTTACTACCATACTACTACAACTCCTCTTCCTACTGCAATTCTTGTATGTAGACGAAAAACATTCCTTAAAAGAATGACTTGCCTTTGTGCATTCTTGAGCTGAATTGTGTAACATTGAAAAGTTACTTCCTCGCAGAAATACCAGCAAAACGATGACTTTTATTTGATTTTCTACATACCTGGATTTATTCGAAATCAAGGTTAATTTCGAAATCTAAATTTCATGAGCAGGTTTTTATTGGAGATAGCTTAATTAAGGCAATTGTTCCGTATTACTTCCACTTCCACATCTTAGGCCTATTTGAGTAAAATGTGATTGTATCTGTTTTAATATTTTAACTTTTTAGGCACGATTTAGGCATTTGATAGTGATTATTGCTGCCCAGGATGATGGTTTGCTTCTTTAAGTAGGCCGATTTGCGTTTTATTCTACTACTAATTGATTTGTCGATGGAACTGATTGGAAGCAGTTGAAAGATAATTTTACTGCTGTTGATAAAAAATTTCTTAGAGATTATAGAATCTTTTGGAGAATTGATAGGATGGTCGCAAGAAATCATACTTTATAGTATAGTTGGTTAATCGATTTATGCAAACGATGAAAAAGGATCACAACAAAGTTTTTCTGATTTTGACATGCTAAATTAGATTTCTTCCCTCTCGTTTCTTGTTTGATAAGTATGAATGCGTGTGCTGGAAAAGAGTAAGTTCCAGGAAGACGCTTTATTTTCATTAAAATTACCATCTTTTACGTCGCCCTTTTATAACTTTCTTATTGCTATCTTTTTTTTGGAAAGAATTTCACGTATTTTTAAAATGAATAATTTTCATTTTTTAAAAATAATCGTCCTGCGACCAATGTCTTTCTATTTCTCTATTCAGTTGTTCAAACAACGACAGCAATCTCACTCTACCGAAGTCTAGTTATCTGTCTGTATTGTAATCATCCTTAGCAAAAAAAACTTTCCAATCCTGGACTATAATTTCGGTTTTTCAACTTTGTAAAAATATTTCAATTAGTATATTTATCTTGAAGCAAATTTTTTTAAAGCTCTAGGAATCTATTACTTCTATTACAGTTTGCATTTTTTTTGGTTCTATGCTCAGATCATGAAATGTCACCGCTCTTTGGTCGCCTCTAAACTAATCCCCAAAAAAAAAACCATACAGAATTGTATCCTTCTTCGCATCATCCATAATACTTTCTAATTTCCTATTACATTTTCCGTCTCTCTGTATAATCTGAAATGCATAGTTTAGTCTATTTTTTTTAATTGCATCATTTTGAGATTATTTACTCTACAGATATTTGAGTTTCTCTGATTCTCCTAATGCAGTAGATAAGTACTTCAGAATAAAGTAGTCAGATGTAAAGGTAGCTCGAGATACACTTTGCTGTTTTGAAAAATTCTGGAAACATTAGTATATATAGACCAGGGTGAAAACAAGAATGAACGGATGGATTCTCGGCCATGAAAAAAAAACTTGTCTTTTTTAAAATTATTGATGGCGGATCAAAGCTGAAGTCCCTTCCAACTTCAACTTTGAATTCTGGCTTATTAGTGCTGTGCAAAGTGATTAATTAGTGATGGAAATAGTTAAGACAAATTAAGACTGCTTGATTTAGAAACATAATGAAAAAATGAATTTCATAAAAAATATTTCATAAAAATTATGAGTCCGCTTCAGTAGGAAGAGCTGTACTAATATTTCATTAATTATGAAATTTCAGTATTTTTAAATCGGAAAGATTTCAAATTATAAGCTATCAAATTTGTAGCAATATGTTTCCAGAATTTTCATTGCGAGCAAAAGAAAGCTCAAATTTTTTGCAAGCGATATGTTTACTCTCCCGTACGGGTTTTATTTTCTCTTTTTTCCAGGCGACGCTATGTTTTTTTTTTTATTTTGGAAAAAGATGTCTGAATTAACCGGTTAGATTTCATTACTTGAGTTGTTGTTTTTGTTCTTTTTCTTTGTGTGCGTGTGTGTTTAGCTTGAAACTATGCGTGTACAAGAGTATTTTCCTGGCTTCTTCTCTACTCTAGGCACATATTATTGACGAAGACGGGTTGTATGAAAGCAAAAAAGCTTTTTCATTAATATATGTGTTTTTAAAATTGAATTTTAAAATTGGGCTTTAAGCCTCCTAAACTGTTCTTATATTGTCGATAATCGTCTTTTTTTGTTGTGTGTTGTTCATATGAGTAGCCTATTGTTTTCCACCCATCTTTCAAATCCTGAAAAAATTTAAATGTTCCAATTTTATTCGAAATATTTTTACTGATTTTATCTAATTGAAGACTGTTGAGTTAGTACTCTTAATACGTGTACATACGACTTTATTTAGTTAATAATATTCAGGGCGCTGCACGTCGAATACAATTCTGCGTAACGCCTTGAAAATATTATCACTTTTTGAAATGTAACAGAATTTTTATGCTAAAGATTATTTCTACAAGAAATACGTAATGGATTTAATCATCAAAATGTAAGTTAACACTTTTATGAGTAAAAACTAAAAGGTATTGGTTCAACAGCTAGGCTACTCATGCATATACCTCCAAGAGATAAAAACAACACTCACTTCGAATTGCGCGGTCAGTATAAATCGGTGTATAACTCCTACAACTACTGCTTTGCGTTATCGCATTCAAAGCATCTCTTTTTGTTTGTAAATCATCATAAAACTTGCTGAATTGGTTTTTAAAAAATCTAAATTTCTGTTCTCGTTTTCAAATCTGTTTAAGTCTTTGTAGTGTATCCGTTGTTCTTGTCCTCATCTGCACCGCCATTTCATGAATAATTAAATGCTATTTAATTAGTGAGAATTTTTGTCGTAAAGACATCAATCATTCCTGGTTGTAAACAGAATGATTGGACATTGACTTGTCTTGCTAGGTTCACATGAGATTGCACTATTGCTAGCTTAAAGCTCCACATTGTATAGTCACGATAATTACAATCATGGTTTATCGACTGGAGAAATTAAATGCCAATACCATAAATAGTAGTTATGTGAACATTCAATTCTACTGAAATTCATATGATTTAAAATTTGAATTTCAAAGGTTCCAAACCTGTTAAAATCTCTAATAAAGGGTTAGATAAATATTGCCATAATAGTCGACCTAAAATCTTACAGCTTTCAAAAGCGTTGGAATTATTTTTTCCTTCAGTGTTTAAAAAATGTTGAGGGAAATAACTCATAATTTTATTCTTCTATGTCAATAATAATCTAGAGAAAAAAATTAAAGAAACTCTATGATCACAGTATCTTTTTCAGACAGATAGTAACTTTGTCAAACAGGTGGCATGTGCAGGAGGAGATATACTACTTTAATCCTCTGATTGAGAAGTGTATTATGTATGAAATACAGTTCATGTGTATTAAAGCTTCACCAATCCGGCCTTTCCTCATGTTTGTTTTTGTTCCCTCAATTTTTCTTTTTCATTTTCAATTTCATGAAAGGAAAACCTGTTTGTGTTCACTGATATTGAGCATTTGATTTGATAAATCGCAAGTATTCCGTGAATATTAAATATTAAATACATGTTTTCATGTTCCCATTTGTTTTTATATACATTGAAGTGAACCTGAGAATTATCCTCATGCAGTCTAATAGTAATCACTTTTACATCATCAAAAAGTGTAAGTTAGCAATTCGAAGACTTCACAACTAAAAAAAATTCTGCCACAAAAAAGTTAGCAGGCTTTCATGCAAATCAAGGAAAAATGAAAAACTAATCTCTCAATTTGTAGAACAAACAAACTTTTGAAATTATTAGTGTCATAAGCAATGCACATCTTTTAATTCGGATCTGTAAATTTAAACTGGAAGTCATTTTGATTGGATAGTTCGATAAATTCCCGACAGGGAATTCATAAACAATATCAGTTTACCAAATGGTCATTTCGGCACATCTCTTCTGCAAGCAGTTACTAAGGGATTCGCAAAAAATTTTACTATTTCCTGAAAACGTTCGGAAAACGGAGCCTCTAAAGAGCGGTCGTTGCGAATCTCTTCCAACTGCTTTCAGTATCGAGTCATCATGAATGTTGATTACAATTGAAATAGATGAACACTGTACTGTTGAATATTTTATCAAACGGTAAAATCGCAGCTCTTTTTATTGTCGAAAGTATTCAGTTGAAAAGAGCATAACTTAGGACTGCTTGTTGAAACCTGAGTATCCATCAAGGACATGACTATTTACATGAACTAAACGGGATAGGTGAGGTTGGCATCCACTGAATAAAGCCTGCAATACAACTTACAAAACTGTTTTTGCTGACTTCTAAACTATTGTAATGAATACATTCTCTAATTTTTATCTTATTTTTGCACTAAATAATTCAGTTGATAAGAAATATCACTATTGAAAATAACAGAGCACTACTTAGTTAAGGTTTGTGAAAATTCGGGGAAAAAAATATCGTTTTTTATATTGGAAAAAAGACAATATAAAGAAATATTGTTTTTATTTCCAATATTTTCAAGGAAAAATATTTTTAGTCCTGATAGTAGCTAATGGAATAAGGAATTCATTTAAGTAATGAAAAATGGATAAATCTTGTTATGGGCAGGAAAAATACATGGTTGAAGGATGAAAAAATAACATGATGTCACGATAGTGATAAAAATCATTTAATATGACGAACGAAGAACGAGTACAAAAAAGTATTGTAAAAATAACTATAAAAAATATTTCAGAGTGGAAAGTGCTACACGGAAATATGTTTATAGGTGAAAGGAAACAGTTTACAATAAATTACTATAAAATACACTTTTACATCAAAGAATGACATCTTCCACACAAAGTATGAAAGCACTCTCAAGCTACTTTATCGCATAATATTTCTAAATAAACCCATATTTCAGAAGTACACAGCTGATCAAATCTAATCTAAGTTCAATGTTCAACGAAAGCGGCAGCTGATTTCTCTCATTCTCGGCTCAATTAAACAGTGTATTAGGACAACCATTTTCATGGCGCCATCAGTTAAATTTGTAATTTTGCTTCGAGAGGGAGAATGGTTGGGAACGGGAGTGAGGGTTTGGGCATTGGGAGTTGGGGAGGGAGTTGTGCAGATGTACCCTGAAGGGCAAAGGCTAAGTGACTAAGCAATTGTAGATGTTTCGTACAAAGTCCAGAAAAAGCAAAAAGTTAGATAATAATAAGGAAAAATGGAGCAAACACAATAAAAAAGAGAAAGATCCTAATAAATATTACATCACATGTATTATATTCGTATATTATTTTGATCTTATCGATACTAATCAAAGCTGTTCAGCTCATCATCGAAGGAATCGTTTGAATGAAAAGACGAGTGGTCAGTTAATTCAGTTTAAGGGACTGCAATTAAATGTGAAGAGCGAGACGCACTGAAATCAATTCAGCCATGAGCTCTCAGGTTTCTGTTCACTTTTTCTTTTTGCAGAGCATTTTCTTACTGTAACACACATGCTAGCTTGTTCAGGCCATTTGCAATTCAAATATGCTCACATGTAATTCATTCCATATTTAAGGATTTATCGAAATTAGCCAAATTGTTAATCACAGTGACAGATTTGGACGAAGTGAAACAAAAAGTTCGTCAATTATGGAAAGATGGACAATTGGAAAGATCACAAGCTGCAAAGCTAATACGAAGATGGAGAAGTTGGCAGTGGCAAAAAAAACAGAAACAGAATAGGGTGAGACAGATTATCTTCATTGTTCCGAATAAATTCCGAATGTTTTATTTTGTATTTGTAACGTGAATATGGATGTTTTCTACATGTATTTTTATCTGTTCTTCATGAAATAGAAACTATAGAAAACTAAAATAAAATGTTAAAGTTGTTGACTACTGATGATGAGAATATGACATGATTTGAGATGCTAAGTGTCATTCGACATTTTAACACCTGTTCTTTATATTCTTAACCTTTTTCTATTAGTTTTCTGGTCTTATAAAATGAATTCAGGAAACACTGATCAACAGTTTGTCAGAAAAGCTGGATTCTATGGAGGAACAGGTACTGGACGATGTTAAACAATTGATAAATGAATATGTGATGTCTGGTAAAATTACTTACAAAGATGGAGCATTCCTCATTAAAAGATGGAGAAAGCGTGAAAGTCGTCGAATAAAGCGGCAATTAAAAAAGGGAAATATGTCGGTAAGTAATTTTCTCTAATATTTGGATTTGGGCAATTTAACTTTATTCTTCATACACATAAATTGTCAGCAGTTTTAGTGTTGTTTTTTTTGCCGGCAAACGGGTCACAAGTTTTCGGAATGTCCGGAAAAGGATGGCGAAATGATGGGATCCGGCATCTGTTTCAAATGTGGTTCTACTGAACATACATCCTCGCATTGTCAACGTAAAAACATTCGTGGTACGTTTCCATATTCATTCTGATGACTTTATGTCTCTGTTGCACTTGGATTTCTTAATGTTTGGTTAAGGAAATGTTTCATTATATTCTTTTGTATGCTTTTAGTTTTTGTATTTTATTCACTTAAATTCGCCAGCACATTTACTTCAACTCCAGCACATTTACTATTGATGAAAACTTCAACATATTGATTAAAAGCTAAGTTACTTGGATTTGGATTTCTTAATATTTGGTTTAGATTTTTCTTCTTGGATTTCTTGATTAAGGAATTACTTCAACATATTGATTAAAAGTTAAGTGCAAGCATTTCTGCATTTCTAGGTTTTCCATATGCGACGTGTTTTGTATGCAGGCAGCAAGGACACCTTTCCAGAGACTGCGATAAAAATGCAAATGGAATATATCCAGATGGTGGGTATTTTTTTCCTTGGTGGTATGGTTTGACTACATAACGCCTTATTGAAAACATTAGATTAGTTGGGTGGGAAACCCATTTTTCAGACTTTGACGTAACGATTTATGGAAAAATTCTTTTTTATAATATAATAGTAATTAGAGAAATACCTTCAAATCAATTCAGGATGAAAATGAGGAGGCTAAAAAATTAATCTTTGGAGATCTATTTTTGAAAATTTATCATATTCCTTTATCTAAAGTGGTTTATTTTTTTGACAAAAAGAATAAAAACATAACTTTTTTTGATTGGAAATTTGTTTTCCTTCGTGTTTATACAGACATTCATTACCTTGTTTCAGGAGGTTCATGTAATTTATGTGGATCTCAGAAACATTTAAAAAAAGATTGTCCGCGTAGGAAAGGAACCGATGATAATAATCAAAGAGGTATGGCATTCATATACAAAATTATTCAGAATTATGTAAAATAAATGTTAGTGGTCTTGATCAGTATCGCCAACTTTGGTCACTAACATTTATTTTGAAATGTTAATGAAATTTCATTAACATTTCACCACACTTGTAAAAATCATTTTTTGAATGTTCATTGGAAGAAACGGACGGAAATTCATGGAAGAATGTAAATGAAAAAGAATAGTTAAATTATTTTTTTGGTTGTTGAATATAAGCTACATTGGTAATGTGTAATTATCCTTTTAGTATTTTGAAAACAATTCTTTTATGCTGTTCTAGTCATATTTTTTAGAAGTGCTAGCTGTTGATAGAAATAACGCTGTTGGCGGTGATGATGATTGCCTCCATATCGAAAGCAATGCTGTGATAAGCGGTGCAAAGAGGAAGAAATTAGAAAGAAAAGTTGTTCACATATAAAATATTCTACATTAATTTGAACTTACAAACAACAATGACAAAGGGCAATACCGGTGAAGAAATAATACTATTGGATTTGCTAAAATTCTTTGAAGTTTCATAATCAAAAATTGTTACAAAACCGAAATAAAAACAATGCAAGTTGCTTATCTTTTCTGCAATCATGCCATGAAATTTTTTTCAAGCAATTCCCCTGCAGAGTATTGAAATTGTAACTTATAATAATCATTAGTAGAAGTAATAATAAAAGGTGATTTGAATGGATTTGTTTGATGGTTGGTAGCGTAATTCTTTTTTTAGCATCACATTTTCTGGAATCAAAGGATCTTAATTTGAAAGATCATAAAAATTGGGGAATATTAAGGTAGTGCATATGCAGATTTCCTCATGTCTTGATTTATTGCTGTTTGAAATAATAAATAATGGTACAAAGCTCCAATGAGATGCATTGCATCTTTAAAGTATTTAATTCATTGAATGAATTGGTAGGATTTTGCTCATCTTCGCAGATTAATACTTTAAGCGATGTTTTTATTCACATCTGATGATTTGCTGATAACAATCAATAGAGTGGAATGGGATGTAGACAGTACTTCATTTGGTGAGACAAGACTGCCGTTAGACAGTACTTCATTTGATGAGACAATCTTTTCTGAAAGACCTCTGGTTGTATTGCCGTCAACCCACAACATTTGTCTTGCAGATGGCGACGGCTGCCGTGCACTTTTTTCTCTTTCAGATTCCACACTGTCACTTAATTACTTAATTGGATGGGCATTCGCTATCTTATATGTGGATCCTTTTTCGCCTCTTACAATTTCATGGTTCATTTATATCGATATCTTTTAGAAGAGGTCATTTAAATTTACCTCGATTACTATGATGAACTGTGCTTTGGTGTTATTGAGCTGAAATTCAATTTTGAGCAGAACTTTTGGCATTTTCGATTTTTTTATTCCTTATCTCTTCTTTCTTTATAAAATCTTTGTAGAAATTATCAATTGAAATTTCAAAAATTGCTAGTATTTGCATTTTTGTTACAGATAAAAAAAAAAACGAATGTTCTAAGTGAATGCTATTTTTACGTTCTTTTTATCCGCAAAAAAAGATGGATCTTTTTTTCTTTGCTTATCCAATGAAGCGAAGAAATTCCACTACCGTCAATCATTTGTGATAGAATGAAATGGCCTTGTCACTAGTTGATTGCTTGCTGCTACTAACTACTGCTACTGCTCCAAGTATGCGTAAGATTTGATTTCACTGAAAGTGCGTTGAACGTTATGAACTTCAAACAATCTTTCATTAATTTACACTTTTGCTCGAAGATTTCATTTTTCAGTTGATCACAGGTACAATTAATTATATTACTACTAGTTACCTATCTTTATTATCCGTTTTCAGCGTAAAATTAAATTTTCTATTATTCTTTTCTATCCTTAAAATTAAATTCTATTGTCAATGATTCATTGACAGAGGAAGATTTAGTTATTTGGGATTTTCATTATGCTGTGAGATATATATATTTTAGGGCAATCGAAGGTTTTTTAATGTCATTCAATAAAATAGCTGTAACTAAACTAAAACTGGGCCTAAAGCAGTCAATTAATGATTAAAAACTTATTTGGAACAGTCGAAATTAAAACCATTACTGAGCTTTTTTTGCTATTAATCTGCTAAAGTAAACTAATGGATGATATGTTTGAGTTCATTACAATCATTACCATTGTACCTAATGTTTCTGGAATTGAATATTTTGAAACCACTTCAATTTTTTTTAACAAATTAAAATTTTTCACATGTATCATCTTCCTAGGATTTCTGTATAATTTTCTTTGGCATCATTAGCAAATCAATACACTGCACTATTTGTTTAGCTGCTTTTCAAATATTCTTGAATTTCATCCTGACAGATCGTTATAAGCTTAGTTAAAATAGCTTTTATTACTTAATATCCAACCGCCGTGCATTCATTAATTCATGGCAAAAACACACGGATGCGAAGTTGGAAAAACAATGACTGCTAATGTTTGATCTTCAAAATATAAAACGGGAGTGAATTTTGAATACAAAATGAGAGTGTTATATTCATTTCACTTCTTACTATGCGAAGTTCTAAAAACGAATCCTCTTTTATTATGACTGAAACCGGCTATTGACAGCTGAACATCGAAACATAGAAAGCAATCCTCGGTAGCAATGATCTCATCTTGCTATTAAATAAATATATAGGAGGAGACACCGCCATCACATAGTTTTAATTGAGGAGATCAAACGACCAGTTTCGATTTTTATCATCAATTCTATTACCCATGCTGTAAATTCTGTCGATAATCAAACCAAAATGTATAATATTTATTTCAAGGTGATAGAGAGGCTGGGAAAGAAACCTTTCCATTATCGCAATTATGAGGGCAAGCATTGTTTCTGTTATTTTTCAAACAAGTAATAGTTCAGTAACAAGTTGAATAAAATTTTCCAATTATCATCCTTTGTGCTCTTTCTGATTTCACTTTTTTTTGTGTCACTCTTTAACTATAAATCATGGATTTAAAGAGCGTTTGTAGACACTTCTGAGTGTGTCGTTTATATATCAAAAGATTTCACATTTTGAAAAATAGTCCACTTGTGCTGTGAGTGATTATAAATTTCGCTAAGAAAGGAACAGAAACAAGTTTTTCTGAAAATAAGATCATCAAATTTCAACATTTATTGCCGTGGCCTCAAATTATTGTAATCAGAAATTATAGGTCCACACACTATAAATTAATTTATCTTGGTGAAATAATTTAAGAAATAAAATGCGCTATTTCAAAAGTTTTTCATTAAGTTACAAAATTTATTTAACTATAACATGCATTTTGTAGTAAGTCTAATTTATTAAATTGCGCTTAAACAATCATTCCTGATGTTTAAACTTAAATCTCTTCCAAAGATTGAGCATTGGTAACAAAAGAAAAAAAAAATTGTTAAATTTCATATACAATTTAAATATATGTAATATTTGAAACAAATAGTGAATTTGCAAGAATTATTGAAAAATTATGGAAGAAAAGAATGAATACAGCGCAACTATCATGAATTATATTCAGTATCGATCAACTTTTTCTTTTTTAGATCTATCGGAAGGTGAATCCAACATCGATCTTCTCCACACAGCTGCTTCAGAGCTGCCTTTATTTCTTTGCTGTACTGAAAGTATGAGAAAGAAATACAAGAAAAAAAAATGCTTCCAGGTGTATGCAATTTTTCAGAAGATTTCGAGCAAGCTGATACTTCAAAGCTCTGTAGCCATTCTTATCTTTCACTTTCGAATCAAATTTACAAGTCCCCTTCATATTATTTAAGTTATTGAAAATTATTCGTGTCCAATTTGACAACTGTCACATTTTCACTGTAGCATAAAACTTAAATAATGATTGATATGCATGAAAGAGACGTTTAAAAATGCAAAAAATAAAATTTTCAAGACTTTATAATTTCTTCAAATTAGGCTTTTAAAATAAAAAGTCAATCAGTTTTTATACAAAATTGAAATGCAAAGATTCGAAACTAAATCAGTTTCTTACAATGTGCGTATTTTTAATTTTTATCACTTAGCATTTTAAAATGTTTCAACTGTTTACTAAAAATTATTGGTATAAAACTAAATTTCTATTATGATATAAATTTACTGTCGTAGTAACTAAAAGATTTATTAATGAATAATATTACAATTCCACAACCATTTTAATTTCAATCGACCCATCCAAGGTCATACTTTCTTCCGTATTCACATGAAATCATATTCTCTTTTCATCATTTCTCATCCCATTCTGCACATTCATTACTTTCATTAAAATTACAGATCATATTAATTATTTAGAGAGTTTTAGTACAGCAACAATACAACATACGACACTAATATAGTGCTGATTTGAAATAATTATTATTTGCAATAATTTAAATTTAATTTTTACTTTTTTTAATAGCATTTTTGCCCAATCCTTAACTAACGATTCTGAATCTCCGTCATAAATAACGAGAAAGAACAGGCCATCATTGATTTCCTTAGTATTGCTATTCATTTATATTCGTTTGATAGATTTCTCGTATTTTTTATCATTCAAAAATATTTAAATGTATTAGTAGCCTAATTTTTCCATTTTAGTCATCAATAACTTGAGATAATAACACATAAAATTTGATAGATGCTGAAAAGTCATTGATTTGCGGGAGAAAAGTTTATCTAAGTTTATACTTCATTAGACGATATTTCGGTTTTCCTTTTTCAAATGAATTTTACAGTGATTTATGCGTGCTCGGTAGAGTAAGTGAACATGCAAACAAACACCAAAAGTGTTTAAAAAAAAAAACTCGTTTTTTAGCTCTTCTTAGCTCTTTAGCGCACATTCCAGGCAAATATTTCATTTCCATTATTCTATAACCGTCATATTGTCATCAGTTGTTGAAAAAAAAACGTTTTTCATTTTTAACATTTTAAAATTATTATACATGTCAGTAATAAATAAAAAATTGGAAGAGGAAGTCCCTATGTAAATTTAAATAAATTCATTGGACAGACTCACTGAAAATTAATTATTATGAGGCTTTGAAGACGAACTTATCGATCGAAAGGTTTTAAAGAAAGTATTTTTTTGATATTTTTTGTTAGCTAACTTGCAGATTGAAACTATAACAGAAGATTATTTTCATTGTGCTTACAATAATCAATACAAATATTTACAGTTATCAAAATAAGCAATGTAAGTTATGATTCGTAATTGCTGGAAAACTTGTTACTTTCATTTGAGAATGAAATTTTAAGAAATAAAAAATTGTAATAAATTCAGACGGTTATTTTGACTTCACTTTTTTGCATTCGCACCTTTTTCCAAGTTTTAATATGAAAAAAGTGCATTTTATTTTATTTCTTTTCAAATAATGCATATAATAATCGGTGAAGCGAATAATGGCATTTCTTTAAAAATTTCCATCACATCGTTCTAATACCACCAATGGACTATTTTTTAAAAAATATTTAAAAGAAAAACCCGTCCATACTATCATATCTTCTTTATTATATTAACTTATGTCTTGTCATTGTTGATTCCTTAAAAGTCACTATTTTTTTCATTTACTATTATCCATTTTAATATTTCCGATGAGTATAAAAGACTTTGCATAATTAAATTTTCCTATAGGAAATAAGCTAATCTTTAAAAAAGTTAAAAATTATTTTTAAACAAGGCGTATATCTTATTTTTTCTAAAGATTTCATTTCTTATTATCTTTTAAATTAATTTTGAGTTTAAATTCGGAATTTACGTCTTTCATTCTATATTCTTGGTGATATATATATATGAAATGAAATTTGCACATAAACAAATACCAATGAATAAGCTTCTCCCTCTTCTGATCCATTTTTATCTTATCGTCATTTAGTCTGTCGGATTTTACACTGTGTTTTGTGACCAGACGAAGGGATTTCTGACTGGTAACAGTTGTGGCTAATATTTAACATAAACAACATTATAATGCATTGATACGACTATTTCATTGATATCTCCAATTGTTCATTATATTTGTTGCTTTCTTCGATTATTGTCATCACAAACAGTATTTCAATTTCAATGGATTATCATTTCTCGGTGTCTTAGCAAATCCTCTTTTGTCTTCTATCTATTTCTTTGATCATTTATTTGTGTTCAATTTCATGTATTAAAATAATTTAAATTTCGAATAAATTCAATGTGTACTAATCAGTAATTATTTTTCAAACAAATCAATGAGCTTCTTTTTTTTTCGAAATTCCTGTTCCGTTCCTTACATGTAATTTTATTAAAATAACTTTCTATGAAGTTTTGTTTTGCTTTGTTTTTTTTTTACATACAGTTTATAAGTGCTGCAGGACGATGATGCAAACGCATTGTGTCAAAAGGTGTTGAAGAAAAATGTCAAAGGGTGTTACTTCCGTTACTTCTGTTTTTTTCTTCTCGATATTTTCCTTTCTCTTGACAATTTTCACTTCTGTTAAAAATCAATGATAATTTTTAACAACGGTGGTTTAGTTTCAGAACACACATATAAATGGAGGCGCATCTTTAAGTGAAGATAATCGTGAATAAATTCAAAAATACAATAAAGACATTTTTGGAGTATTTTTTGACTTCACAGAAAAAATAAATAAACCATTTCATTATCATTGTAAAGATGTGTCGCACTATCTGAAAGAGAGCGCTATTCATATATCATGTATTGACCAGTTTCTTTCAATCTATTTTCGACCTTTACCAAGGCATATCCTTTAAAATTAAAAAGAACTTTGTATCAATTAAATTAAAATCCACAAAAATCACATAACCTTGATTTTCAGTTCGAAAATTTTTAGCAATTATTATAAGCCTCTAGTTATGTTAAAGTTTTAGTTATTAAAACACTTTATCAGTTTTAATTCTACAAATGATCGTTCACATATTTTAACCTATTATTTTGACCAGTAAATACGGGGGTCATTTTGACCAATAAATACGGCATTGAAATAACTGTTAAATTATGAAATTAATCCAGAAAAGAATGAATTGAAGCAGATATGTATTCTCAATAATTAATTAATTAATTAATTAATAATAATTAATATGATAATGACAATCTGATAATGATAATGATAATGATGATGATGATGGTAATGATAGTAATAATAATCAATAATAATATCACCTTCATTACATTGATAATCTATCTGTTCATTTATTTTTGTATGTAAATTTGTTTGTACCACACCTGCTACACATTCATTGTCACTCTTTTAATTACCGCAACAATCATAAATAAATTCAGGATTGGGTGAGTTATTAATGATTTAATGGATTACAACTAGTGATCAATCAATCTGCTACTGGAACTAAACCAAATAGTTAACAGGAATTTTAATAGAACGAAAATCGAAATATTGATTATGGCTGCAGCAAAGATAAATGGTCATACTGAACAGACATCAATAACGGAAACTCCAAAATGTAATTGTTGTCCGTACGGATTTCACATAGATCTTGGATTTGTTGATTTTGTAACGAATGTTGCTGGCGAGAACAGCAATGGCTTACCTGCGGTACATATTTTATTTACATATTGACAAAAATTTTTGTTCATTGTATAAATTTATTTTCATTTAACCAACAATCATAGCATTATTTACATTGTAACTTTTTTTCTTTCAATTATTGTACTGTAAATTTTTTTCAGCCTCTCGAAATATTTTAAAAACTTTCAGATCATTTGTTATAAAGCACGTTTAAAATATCTAAGAAGAAGTTGTAAACAAAAAGAATTGGAATATAAAATTTCCTAATTTTAGACTTATTCAAATGTGTAAAAATAAATTTTGATTTATATTTCATCTCAAATGTGTAAGAAAATTTTGACCTATATTTAATCTAATATATGCAAAATTATAGCTAATTTATAAAGTTTTATAATTTTAAAAAGATGAATTTAAGTATGTTTCTGATTTTTATAGAATGACAGAAATGATTTGCAAAAAAAATCAAAAAAATATATTAATGGTGAAAATGATACAGTCAATAAATGGTGTGGAACATCGAAGCAATTAATTAGGAAAGCTCCATTTAGTCCGTTAGATTCTATTTTCAGGTCAGTTTTTTATGTTTAAGAAATTTTGATTAATAAACAAGCAAACAAAAATTTGACAAATGCTGAAAAGCAATAATTATATTATTGCTTATGTATATGATTTTATAAGATTATTTGCTTCCTCTTTTGTCGAATGTTCTTTAAGAAAGGCACAGAAAATTTTTCTACTCTATTTGGAGATCAAACCGTAAACTTTCCAATACCTTTCCTATTTAAAACACTGTTGAAATTTATTTATCAAGAAAGAAAAATGAAAATTTGACATTAATTTTATTATCGCACTTTGAAGATTTTGTTCAGTTAAATGAGAAATTGATCAATGATAAAACAATATGAGAAGACAGATATCAAGTTTCTTTCGGCTATTTTATCTAGCAAAACATAATTGCATAACTTGAGATAATCGAAATTTGATAATCACAATGGACTTCACTTTTTAAAATTTTTCAGTGACTCACTGGAGAATGTAGTAAGCGATTTTGAAGAAGCATTAAATTTGCGAGAAAATAATTCAGAAGGAGGACCGAGAAATGTGCCAAATAATGTGCGAAAAAATGTACGATACAACAATGGTTACTTTTCAGATTATGGGACAACGCAAAATAGCAATCGGCCATTGCCATCAAAAATGCGACGTCGGTTTTTCTTTTTTTACTCCTTCAAAATGGTGGATATTGAGAGAGAATTTTGATTTCTTCTTGAAATAATCTTTTCTGTGTAATCATTGTGTGAAGGGAGAATAGTGAAATGTGGGGGTGTCATCTCGTTTATGCGTCATTTTTCGTCAGCAAATCAATTACAAAATTGGCTTTTCAAATTGGAAATGTTGCAAGATGAAATCTTCATATATCACTGTTTGTTGAATAAAGAACACATAAGCCTCATTTCGCTAAAGAGGCTCAAAAAGCATATTGGCTCTTTTGATTAGTTCTTGCTACTATAAAATGTAAATAAGGATTTGTTGAGGAAAGAGCAAATAAATGACTGCTTTTCCAAGATTTTATTTTATTTTATTTTTTGCTAATGGTTTTAAGTTTTCCAAAAACTGAGGGGATATGGAAGAAGAAATGAAAAATGAAGGCACATTGAAAATTCGTAATTAAATTTTCCTAGTGGAAATGTTAGAAGTTGTATGAGGAAATTTCTTAAAACGAACTTTTTTCCAGTGAGGTATTCAAACGTATGATTTAGAGAGAGAGAGAGAGAGAGAGAGAGAGAGAGAGAGA